GTTGATGCTCCCATGGAAGTAGCCCACCACACCTTCCTGCATTTCGAAACAAGCTGGCTGGTCGTGGTAGTGATGGCACCATCACTGGGAGCCCTGTCCCCCTCCAAGACATCCGTATGAGGCAGAACCTGTGTGCCACACAGCAGATGCCAACAAAGTTGGCATCACACGCCACCTTGACCATACTGACCCCATTGTTAGTGACCATGAACCCATGGGTGAGCTTGGCCCGCCCAAAGAACCACCCCTGCACCATATAGTTCATAACCACTATGATCTCCCTTGCAGTCTGGGACTCATCCATCACCTCCGCTCGAAGAAGAGCCCACCGACACACTGACTGACCGTACCAGTGCCCTGTGAGGGAGCAGTAGGCATGATCTCCACCTCGGCTGCTTCAGATATCCAAGGTGAAGTACAAAGCTACCTGCAGCCCTGCCTTCCGCAGCTCCTCCCTCAAGTACTCCCTGCATGCCTCATACAGGGAGGGCACCACCCGCCTGCTAAATGTGGTGCGTGCAGGCACGTGGTATGAGGAGGCCACAAGCACCATGAGCCGACTGAACCCTGGCCACTCAAAGGAGAAGGGCTGGCCATCCAGAGCAAGCATCTCCCCAGTGTTGTGGGTGACCTAGCTCACCTTCGGACCACACCTCCTTTTGTCCCCATCTTTTCCCCACTGGTCCAGGGTGGCCTGCCTCTGCTTCTTGGGGATGGGGGCTTTGGAACAAGAGGGGGACTTTCTTTTTGGGCATACTCCCACTGGTACCAGGCTGAGAAGAAACACAGGCAAGGGGGTGCTGCCTCCTGAGATGCAGCAGCACCGCTGTGGTGGTGAAATGTTTCTTGTCCTTGCCCCAGCTGATCAGCTTTCAGCAGTGCTGGCAGGTAGCATACTTGGGATCATCTGCCACCTCAAAAAGATCCCAAACTACACTGCCCACCTGCTTCTGGCTTGAGGCTGGGGCTCCTGCCTTATCCCCCTCCTCAGCAGGCAGAGGCACAACAACAGGAGGAGCTGAGCCA